CAGGAAATAAATCATATATTTTAAGCCTGGCAACTTAAAACATACATGTGACAAATATCTGCAACCACAAACCTCTTTTATTTTTATTATATAGCAAATTGTATAATTGCTGCTGAATATGCAGTTAGTACATATATTGCTCAGTCTCAAACATCATGCTTTAATACTGTAATTACTCAAAGCTAAGATGAGGTTTCTTTTAGAGCTGTGTGAAACAGCATTGTTCCAATTCAACTTCGGTTTCAACAATTTGACAGAACAGTGTTTCGTTTCAAGTTTAGTTTTGAAACCACTGTTCTGTTTCATTTCATCAAAACTGTTCCGCTGTTTCAATGTTTTGCCCATAGGTTATAATGGGGAAACATAAAATGCAGCAGGCACACAGACTGGGGGCTCTCCTGCACCCTCAGGAGGGCTGCTAGGGTTGCAAGTCCTCCCAGGGGTGTGAGCCCCCGATCTGCCTGCCAGATGAGAGAAGCCGGGTACTGCCCCGTGGGACTGTTGAATGAGTTTTAGTTTAATCGCCCCTGCCACCATTTTGAAGTGTGGGATGCTGAATACATGAGATGCTGTGGGCATTTTAATTAGAGCACCTCCTGAGAGCTGCTGTAATTAAACCCCTTCACCTCACCCCAGAGCACATGTAAAGATGCCTTTAGATTCAAGTAAATATGTTATTATGTTCACATGCCCAGTTATATAGTTAGAATAAAGCATGTATAGCAAGTTTATAAACATTTGCTCCTTAAAGGCTTCATAGTGAAGAGTGAGAAAAAAGCATCTATCCAACTAATTCACAGAAAAGTCCATTTAAATGTTTAGCAGAACTTAATTTGCCGCAGATCACAGTATCACATGTACATACTGAAATGCAACATTGGCAGTTTTTCAACAACATTCAGCATAAATACACAGTATTCCTCAGTAGTAGGTCAGTCTTAAAAATCATTTTCTCTTCAAAATATTTGATAAAAACTATTCCTTGAACATGGCAAACACATTATCTGACAAGTGCACAACCCAATGTTTCAATGTACAATCCACCTCCATGTCAGATGCCCTTATATTTATATAAAGCCAATTTACATTTTTAGGCCACATAAGCCTTGAATCGTAAGTGACATACACAAAATCTAGATAGTTGTACAGTTTTATGGTGTCTGAAAATATCTGTGCTCTACAATGAAATATTAACTTTCTCCCAGTTTTCAACCTGATAAATAGCTTGAAACAATACCTTTTCAAGGAAAAAATAAAACATGCTTTTTATTTCTCTCTAGTAGGGCTGTGCGAAGCTTTGGGTAGTGATTCGATTCAGAGGAGATTTGGCCCGATTCAGTGGCCGAACCTGAATCGAATCAGGGGACCAGTTAAAAGGTCCAAATCGATTCAAAGCTCTCCAAATCTTCAGAAAAGATTCAGAGAGCTTCAATGATTTGGGCAGTCCCCAGTGGCTGCAGCTGACTCTGAGCTGGAAAGTAGGGGCGGGGAAGTAGGGGCTGCGGGAGGGGACCATGGAGGGACCCCTGCCAGCCTCCCGACCCCCCTCACTCCCCCAGCCCCCTCTCTGAATCAGATTTGGTCGAATTGACTCAGGACAGTGATTCAAATTACTGAATCAAATCGCTGTCCCCCGAATTGGCCAAATCCAAATCCGAAACGAATACTAGCCGCTTCTCACAGGCCTACTCTCTAGCAATGTCTTTCACTACTAACATTAGAGAAGTTCAAGTAATATAGTTTTCATGTAATTCCCCAACAGGGAAGGTACTTTGTTGCTCAGAACTAGAACCAACATCTGAATATACCAGGAAGAATTAAGAAAGTGAAAAGATCAGGCTGTTAATGTAATAAGAGGATTTTCAGTGGATAAATCTATAATGTGCTAAGGCAGTTTGCTGCAAGTGTTTGCAAACAACAAAAACCTTTCTGAGAGAGGATACTTGCTAAGCAAAGTTAAACATTTCTTATCTACTATTTTTGATATATCCATTAAATCAGGAGTGTCAAACTTGTTTGGCCCCGCTGGGCTGCATCTGAACCACAGGGTTCCTTACAGCTCATATCTGGATCCACCGCTAGTGGTAGAATAAGGCAGGGAGCCACAGGCTAAGGACAGAAGTTACACATAAACCAGTTTAAGTGATCAGAAACTGGTTTAAACCTGTAACGGACCAGAACTTCAACGCATATAAACTGCTTTAAAAATGGCCAAAACTAGTTTAAGATAAACCTGGCTGAACGTAGTATCAGACATAACTGATTTTGGTCAAACCATTTTACACAACTTCTGTCCCAGACCCCCTCCTGGTTTAAGTTAACTCACAATCCCCCAGCATCCCAGAATGCTTTGCTTTGCCTGTGCTGTCTGTTCCAGCAGAGCAGGGTTGCCCTCCCACCCAACAATCTCCTCCATAGCCAGAGCACTATCAGTGCTCCGACTGGCTGAGAAGGGGGTGGGGGTGGGAAACTCTGTTTCCGAGTGCTGGTAGCCTGCACCGGCATGGGACCCCAGCTGGTATCTGCCTGGCAGGGGTGCAGCAGCCCTTGCCAAGCATCCCCAGCTCCACCATCCCAGGTCACTGTTTAAGTAGCAGGTAGGGGGAAGAGGGCATGGTGCTGAAGCTTCTTGGATTTTTCTTTCACTGTCTTTAACAGTGATTCCTTTTGTTGTATCTCTTTAGTTAAAGCTTTACATGTCAATAGTAATCCTTCTAGAACATTTCTTTTGTCTTTTTCTTCACCCAGGGTTTATGCCCAGAGACAATCTGAGAGGACCACTGGTCACAAAATTATACAAACACATCCAGTCCACAGAAAATATCCTTATTCCAGAAACCTAGAGCTGTTTTTCTTATCACTCACTTTTCTAGTTCAGATAGCTTTTTCTTACCCAGCCTGCCATATGAAGTCAATCCAAAAAGGGGTAAAGCTCCTGAATTCCAACTTTATCTGTGCTCCCTCCCTTGCAAAACCAATTTGGCAAGTATAAGTGACTGAGCCTCCAAACCCCTAGAACAGATTTCACAATCCTCAACAGCTCTAAGTTCAAATAGCCTCCAATTTCTAAGTCTAGTGTTCAACAAAGTTTCCAAGTGCTGTGCACAATAAAGTCTCTCAGTCCAAGCAAATTCAGTAGCGTCCATCCAAGGAAGGTGGAAGCTTGAGTACTCCTGCAGCGAGCAGAGGTGGGGGGACTGGCAATGCCTGGAAAGGGCTGCTGCCACTCTCCCCCTCCAGGCACACCATGGCTGGGGACTGTGCAGGCCAGGGTGAGGGTTAAATCCCTCCCCACTCATACTTAGTCTGCCAGGGCCTGGCCACAACCCTCCACCTCAGCTCAGCTTCCCTCCAGCCTTCCAGCCACTGAAGAAGGGAAGGGAGCGATCATTCTAGCACTCCCCCTGGCTTCTAGCCTGGGCCACTGCAGGCATGTGGCTGCATTTCTGGAATCAAAAGTGAATGTCTGTTCACTTGCTTCTTGGTTTAATCTATGCAGGTTAGACTAACCTGCAAATATTGAACTGATTCCGGCTCGGGCTTTTTGAATGTCTGTAGGAAGTGTCAAAGATTAACAAATGCATTACTCACTGCCCCCATAAAACTACTGGCCCCTTGAGAAACCCCACAGGCCGTATGCTTGACATCCCTGTTTAAAATAACTGAGTGACGCCCAAATCTTAAGAGAATGCTGAACTATTTCAGAACCAAACTTTGTTCCTCTTAAAATAAATTTATGACCATTTTGGAGCATTTAAGAAATGTAATTCACATGCAAAAGAAAGCGCTAGTTCTGGTTTTGCTGATTGGCTAATCCTGACTAGAGTTTGAGGAAATTTATTTCTTCCTCTGAACCACTAATATCTTTTACCATGCGATTCTCCCACAAATATTTGCATTTTCCTGGTTTAACTGAAAAACATGTAAACCTTTTAGTTGTAATAAAATTCTTCCTTTCACACAAACTGACTGCTGATAAGGATGGAAGGATATATATGTATTTGTGCCCTCCTTTGCTTTTTATATTATAAAAAGGTCTGAAAGTTAGTGACGGGTGGGGACAACTTTCAGAGTCTTTTTCTTCTCAATATGTTTTACCCCAGAAATATAAGGTCTGTGAAAAAATGTTCTTTGTTTTCAGTGGAGACATTTTCAGAGTTCTGAAAACTGGACAGAAACAAACACTCTCATCCCTCTGCTGAAGGGAGAATAATTGGATCTTTCATTTGATATAATAAGACATTCTCCCACAAACCTTTATCAGAATTAGACAGATTCTAACAACTACAAATAATAATAAAAATAAAAAACTCTGATGTTTGAGGAAAAAATCTATTCCCCTACCAATTCATTTTTCCTTGTCATGTCATAATCCCATTACATTTCTACTTTTCCAATACAAACAGGAAAATATGAACTTGATATTTCTAACATACAGACAAGAACCCCCCTTCCACCCCCAAAAAAACCAACAGAAAATGCAAACTTATTTACAGCTATCTTTATACATGAAAAAGCATTCTTTCAGGGCAAAAACAACATTTTTCTCTAGTGTAGGTTAACTTTATATAACTATTCATCTTTGAGAAAGGCCTCCAACTGAAAATGAAAGGCCTGTATTTCAAGAAAGATATGTTTCTAAAAAAAAAACAAACACATTTTGGAGCTATTTTCTGAGGAAATGGCAGCAACACAATTCTCAACAGAAGAACACTCCCACAAAGTACCTCTTTGTAAAAATCTTGAGGCTATCAACCACCAGCTGTCCACTGGCATTACCTAAAGACCAGAACTTCATGTCACAGAAGAATGAACTTTTTCTTTAGGTCAACATTAAGATTTATTGGCACTCAGAAGGGTATACACCAACTTCAAGGTAAAACAGTTTGACACAAATATCTGAGATAACTCTATCAGCACTGTATTTCAGCTACTCCAACCTGCACTGGCTGCTCTTGTCAGAAGTCAGTGACTGCATGATTCAATAGTCTGTGACTTACTGTGAGATGTGAGTTATTGGGGTCAGCAATGTCTCACCCTCCAGGTCAAGCTCATCTGCAAAGCTGTTGGTCCTGGTGAAGGGTCCTGTGTTCACATCTAAGAACCCAGGACTTTTTTTCACTGTGAGGAAATATGTAGATAAGGGTTAGGGCAACAGTGTATAGCTGTTTTTAGAAAGGCTGTACAATACATTTACTGTACATAAGAGTAGGTAAATGGACAAATAAAAGAAATGACTTAAATACAAATAAAAATTATAGAAGTAGTTGGTATATAGGACAAGACTGCATCCAAAGGAAAATAAGATATGGAAATATTTTTATATGTGAAAATTTCAGCCTTTGGTTATGCAACATGACAATGTCAAATCCTTCTTCTCTGCAAAAAAACTCCATTTCAGGTAGTTGCTTCAGGATTTTACTGGAACTCAGACCCATCTGTGCTAAAATTATTATTATTATTCCAGAGAAAAGATCTGGGGAAGGGGAGGGGAAAAAAAACCTACAGCCATTTGTGGATATTCCTCATATATGAGCATTTAGACATTCAGGTGCTGGTCCATGCTCAAGGGATTGTATGTACATTCTGCATTAAAGAGTAAGTGAATAAAAATGTAAACAGTCCTGGGAGCAAAGACAAGAACCCAGGATTGCCCACTCTCAGGTGAATGCTTTCACTAACAGGTTACTGAGTCACGCTTCCTCTTGCTAACTCTCTTTTTCTGGCCCCATGAATCTTGCCCTCTTGGCAACACAGAGATCCAGCTTTAGCAGGAGGGGTCTTGGGGCCTCAGCCTTGCCTCTATCCTGTTAAACAAGAGACTTTCTGGAGAGAGAGACGAAGTAGCTCTGAGCCCCTCTCAGGCTGAGGGTCCCATAATTCAAGTCTTCCACTTTCTGGATAAGTGCTCTAACTCTGAGGCTGAGATAAAAGGGGGTGACACCACCAACACTATTTGTTAATGAACATGCCTATGGCTTCTGTGCTCTGACCTCCTCTCAATGATCAGTGGGAAGGATGCATAGTATAAGCTTACCTACTGCCGTGGACACCCCAGAGGATACAAGCACTGGGGCACTTTATTTATGAATTCAAAATAGGATTAAGTGTGAAATACATGCTGAGATACCAGCCCTGTTAAGACTGTGGTGCCATTGACTACTTGTAGTAGCAAAACTGTTGGCACCTAAACCACTTCGGCACCTATGAATTTTCAGTCATCTGACTGGGGATTCTGTGGTTCACTTTCTTAGACTTGGATGGCCTAAGTCCCACCTAAGTTCTCCTTTAGGCACTTTAAGTGCTTGTTTAGATGTTTCCCCTTGGCTAATATTCACTGGTATTGGAAATACCATAGACTGGTTGTTGCATCTATACAGCAGTATACATGTACATAGTATCACACAGGTAATAGAAAACATCATGAAATAAAACTACATAACTGCGTTTACTGTAACTAGGGGTGTAGTTGGCAGCTGTGCTGGACCAACACCCCTGACACATGGAAGATGCCAAATTTTAGCCGATTTTGGATTTTAAACTTAATTGCAGAACAACAAGGAAGTTTTTTTTTACCTCCCTGCCTGCTGTCTGACACCTTCAGGGAAGGAATTCTACCTGATCAACACATCAAAGAGGTACTCAGCACAGCTCACAAAGACACTCTCATGGACCCAGAGGGACAGCCTTCCATCTTCAACTCCCTCTGTGCAAAAATGAAGTTTATTTCCTACCTATGGGGACTATTTACCATCTTGTACCATCTACACTTTTCCCAGAGCCTGACGAAGGGACTTTGATCCTGAAAGCTTGCAGAAAAGGACAATTTTCTTGCCATTTTCCAGTTGGTCTAATAAAAGGTATCATTTTGGAACCAAGTGTTCTAGTTTTTTGTATGTCTTTACTGTAACTATGTATTTACGGTTAGCAACACTGACTGTGAGCATATGCTGGTATTTATGGTGGCAGCTTTTCAGCAACCCTAACACTATAAAACAGTTCTTTTTTAAAGATCCTCCACTCAGGCTTATCTGTATGTTTTTTAATTACAACAGTAAATAGCACCTGCCCAAAATAAGATAACATACAAAGCAAAAGCACAAAACAGAAATCAATATTTAAACTACCTGTGTAAAGCATTAGACAATGGCAATAATTCTACTATGTCTTGAACTCAAGAGTTCATGAACATTTCATGAAATGCTTGGACCTTAGATGAGTTACAACACTAAATTAACATAGTTTACATTATATTTGATAACAGCGCAACCCTGACTATTGTGCTCTTAGGACAAGCAAAGAGGTACTGAGAGGGAACAATTAAGTATCTGGGCATGTTATTCATAAGGGGGGTGTCTACATGAGACATTTACTGTGGAATAGACTAATTAGCTCTGCAGTAAACACTGCATGTCTACATGTGCACTCCTATAAGGCTGTAGGAAACCAATTAACTCCATAGCAGAATAGTATTTGTAAATACAAGCAAATACTACCCTCATGCTCCAGCCAGCTGGGGCAGCATCTATGCATGCGCTGCTGTTGGTTAAAAAACCCTGCAGCAGGATAGTGCTTGTAAATACACACTGAAGCATCCTTGTGCAGCCAGACCCTCCACAGCACACTGAGCTGGCCAGAGCATCCCAGGGCTAGCAGGCCCAGAGCCCCATGTCAGCTAGGGCTGCTCTGACCCAGCTTAAAATACTGTGGTCCTGGATGCATGTTCAAGCAGTGCATCCTGGAGTAATACATTCTGGAGCAATAAGCCCCAGAGTTTATTGCTTTGCATTAATTGTATGCATAGACTCACCCAAGGAGCATTATCCTACTCCCAACAAAATTAGTAGAGGTTATGCAATGGAAGCATAATTAGGAATAATAAAAAAAAAAACTTTAAAAATGCAACAAAGTTTTAGTCAGGTACTAGATGACTTCAAATGGCACAAATGTAGTCAGATTTTTACAGATGAGTAATCAAGTAAAAATTGTGATTACATCATCAACCATATGGCTACTCAAAATAAAAATTAAGTAAACTGCTTTTTAGTAATTGCCCTGTGAGAACAGGGACCCTGAAATCACAGGATGAAATAGAATTGGGTAGAACTATCCCCAGGATATATCATTTTACCTTAAATTAGGAACTCAATTAACACAGTAATGGCTTAGAGCCAATTTTAACAGTATTGGAATGAAAGTTCTATAGCAAATTATAGTAAATTCAAGCATCTGCTGTTATTTTTCTGAGTAATATCATCTGTTGGATTAATCACACACTGCTGCATTCCCCATCCATGACAGTGGTTATGAAACAAACAGCAGAAGAAGCCAGCTTAAGACATGCAACAAAATGACTTTAAAGGGCCTTATATAACTTTGCTAACCAGACTTCTTTGGCTTTTGCTAAATAAATTCTGAATGTTCAATATTCTGCCAGATGCAGACAAAAGCCAGGATCCGAAAAGTCTCTTTCCTCATTCCATACATAGTACATGCTTCTCTGAACATATTAGTCAAAGAAGGGGTGCCACCTAGCCATGCATTCCAATTATGAATGGCAATAATACCAAACATGAAACCACGTGAAGTGCTTACCAAGCACTCTACATTTTCTTTTCCTCATCTGAGGGATGGTATGTGGGAAGTCTTGAAAGAGCTGTTATTGGGTTGTAACAATTATTCTTTTGGTGCTGAAGGTGGGAAGGGGACAGAAATGATATTTAAAAAAAGAAAAGAAAAGAAGAAATTTAAGCCAAATCCAATCCAATTTGAAAAATCTCTGATAGTAATGAGAGAGTTCACCAGGCATTATATATACTGCTCCCCTGCACCACTTCTGGGTTCGCCACCGAGCATGTGCCCCTCCCTCCCCGCCATGCTCCTGTGGGACGCTCCATCCACCCCACCATCACAGCATTCACAAGCCGTGCCTGGTACCTCAAGATAGGTAGAAAAACCATTTAAAGCTGTGTCTATGGCCAAATCGCTGATTCTCCAAACCACTATTGAATCTTCAGATTCGGATTCTGCCAAATCAAATCAGGGACAGTGATCCAAATCAACAATTCCAATCACTGTCCCCGATTTGAGCTGAATCCAAATCTGAATCGAATAGGGACCGCGTCGCATGCCCATAATATATGAAGCAACTGCCTACTTTTTGCCTTGATATGCTAGAAGTCCCTCAGGGCTAATGTGTGGGTAGTCTTGGGCAGCACAAGGGCCCCCTCAGCATTCTCCTATCTCTGTGTTCTTTAACAGACTTTCTGCTTGCAGAAGTGCAGGGAGAACCACTTCCAAAGAGTTTCTGTTTTTCCCACTCACCTGTATAGGCAGGAGAGGGTGGGAAGTGGGTCACTGATGCCCCCCACCCCTGGCTCCAATGCTCCCCTGCTTATATAGTACTGAATGTCACATATGACACCCGGTATAGATCAGCTGAGGTTTATTCCTTCCCTTGGGCAGAAAAACCTGAAAAGAGACTGACTCCTAGAGTCACAAACTCCATCCCAGGCTATTCCAGAAACAGTGGAAGATGTATTGTCCCTTATTCTAGGCTCAATTTTCCAAAATCTTCACTTTTTATTTTTAAAAAATGTTAAAAAAAGTTAGTGATATTATTTTGGGGAGGGATCCATTTTTGTTCAGCTCTATAGTTTGCAAGCAATTTTTATACTGAATAAATTCAATGGAAGGTGTCATGTTTTTGAAAATGTAACAAAGCTGGACAAAATCAAAATGCAAACAGCAACAACAAAAAGGCAATGCTGTATTTGCAATGTTTTCCTGTTTTTTTTTAACCAGGTCTAGCTAAGATGTTAAAATTGGGAAACAGTAGGATAAAGCTTGGCATAACTATTCCATTTAACTCAGCAGAAAACAATAGGGTTGCATGTAAAACAACAGTTTTGCTCCTCACACTGTCTGTGTGAAGAGATACGGATGATGGAGCCAGAAAATCAAACCAACACTTCAAAACAACACCCACAGCCTTAGTCAAAGTGAATCAGAACCACTGCTGCCCCGGGCGGCCCCCAGGACCCCACGTAAGGCTGCTGGGGCACCACTTGTGCTGACCCCAGCCTTCCCTACCTCCCTCAGCACAAGTTGCCATGTGCTAGAGCACGTGTGCAGGGGCATGCCCTGGGGCAAAAAACAGCGGCTCAAGTATGTGCCATGGGAAACGCACATCCCTACATGTGCACACTTGTCTGGATGCACCCATATAGATCTTTTTCCAATAGTTGACATTTTTCCCTTGAGCATGCTTTTTTCATTCCCCCCTCCCCCCGCCCAAATTTTTTTCACGCAAAGTGTCTACTTTCTACAAAACATCTCAATTTTTTGGTTAAAACACTAAAGTTCAGAACTCTATATTCTCTGCACGGAAAAAGGCTTACTCCCACTCTACCATTTTGTCAGACATAGTAAGCAAACTCCAAACTCTGCAGTGCAAGGATTTAATTACTGGTAATTGCAAAAAGGACAGAGCATTGAAATACATGTTTTACCTGGAGAAGAAGGAGCACTGGAGGACTGTTGCTCTGCAGAAAGTGATGCCCAGGAATGTTGACGGTCTGAGTCATAGGAAAGATGTACACAACAAGAGTCAGACAGGAAGGAGGGGAAAAAAGAGACAGTTGGAGAGACATTCACATGCCTTTAATTCAAAGTCTGTGTTGGGTCTGTCCTCTTTAAAATTAAACAATAGAAAAATTGGGAAAGAAACTTTTATTAAATTCTTAATTAAAATGCTTGCATGTGTATTCCAGAGCTTATTTAAAACTAACTTACCACTAGGGGGAGGCATTTTGCCTCCTAGAACTATCCCCGTGCACCACAGAAACAGGTCTTCTGCAGGTTACTGTCCTCAAGTGCCTGACCTGTTCTGCTAGACAGTGTGACTGTAGCTCTGCCTGCCCCCTGCCACATTTGTGGTATGCCTGAGCACTACCTCTCACAAGTGGATAACCACAAAAGGAGTAGGCTCTCTTTTAGGGTTTTAGTATTCTTTACTACTGTGTACAGTAAGCATCACACACAGTTAAGTTTTTGTACAGTAGGAAAAAATGGAAGTACTGCATGCAATTTAAGTTGCCTGATTCTATTTTCAAGTGCTTATAATTTTTCCAAACTTAATTTTAGCTGAACATCTGGGGGGAATTTCAATCAAAATGTTTCAGCCAAGTCTACAAGTAAGGTTAGGGAAAATGTTTTTTGCTTTTTATTTTTATTTTTTACACTTGTTTTTTTCTAAAAGTCCTGCTGATATCATATTTTGGAGCAGGTATTGTATATTTATCAGAGGTGTTGCCTTCACTTTTGCGGTGCACATTTTCTTTGTCCCATGAGAAATCTGCCTAAATTAACTCAAATTATGAGACTATGGCCGCTGACAGATCCTAATTTACTTGTGCAATTGAGATCTAACAAATTTTATGCCGGATCCCAAAAATCAAACTTCCTGCCATAGAAGGTCTTCATTTATGGTGTTAATCATATCATACACATGATCCGTCTCCTCCTCAGCTCCTGTGTACTGACTAGACTGACTAGCCTAAGGCTGCAATGGCTGGACAGAACTATCTCTACATTTTTTCCTCCTAACTCCCAAGAGCCCTTGTACAGCTTGTCACTGGAACTAGGAGACTGTCTCCCTCTGCTCTCAGTGTTTGAAGAAGCAGCCTGATTACAAAGCAAATGCAAAAACGAGGTGAACCAAGGTAGGAAGAGAGCAGCCTAGGACTGTGAGGGAGTTGGAAGATGGCACCAGATTAGGAATCTTGTGGATCGGGGAGAGGACTCAGGGTGGGCAAATGGACTTGGACAGAGAGACTGGCAGGGAGACTGGGACCAGAACCCAGGGGGTAAAGACTTGGACTGGGGAGCCCAGAGAGGTTCCATTTTGCCTGATACTCTGTTTGTGCAGAAAGCAGATATATAAAAAATAAAACCAGTAAACAACATATTTTCTCCTAACCTCACTTTCAGAATTGGCTGATTAGGTTGTAGGGGAAAAGATGGGTGGCCATGTAATTAAAGACTGGATCACCATGCATGCAAATGAGAGGGCCACATTAAGTTTACACAGGGAAACTTAGTTCTGCATTTCTTAACTTCTGAGTGCCTCACTTTGCTATCTTAATACTTTTCTAATATAGGTGTGTGTATATGCATAGTAAGTATTTATGCTGAGCGCAGGGATAAATATACTCATTGCTTTTCTTTCTTTTTCTCCCCTAAAACTATTGTGAGAACACTGCTAGCTGAATTCCAACGTCTACCAAATTCACTATGTGGCTGCGCCGCAAATGTAAAATTAATTTAAATTAGCTGGCAACCTTCCTCTAGAGAATTTCCCCAGTGCTGCTAATATAAAACAGGCAGAAATGACTTCACTCTTCGTACTCCTCCCTGTCCTCTGCTTGTTCCACCACATCTGTCATCACTAGATATGCAGCATTGCCTCAGGTAAAGACAGCAAGGAACCTTATTTTTAGAGTGTGGAGGTAGAGGATTGGGCAAGAGAATGATTCTGGTGGAAAGAAGTTTCATTTTGCTCTGCTCATGCAAGTCAAAACTCTAGTGGAGGTTCAGGTTTAACTTAAAACAGGGGTGGTTAGAGAGGAACGAAGAACTGCAACATAAACACTGTTACCTCTTCATCTCCTCTGCACCAGAATTCTTGTGCGAGTAGAGTGAAGAAATCAGCATTGTATATTTTTGGATAACATAACAAAAGTCCTAGAGTCCCTGGACCAAGTTCTCTGTTATTAAAGTCAATGGGATTTTTTCCAATCTTCAAAGTTTGCACAGTTAGTTCCATAATAGCATGCAACTCCTCGCCCTCACACCAAAGTGTTGTTGTGTTTTCACAGACCTAACTCTAATGCTAAACCATGTTGGAAAGATTCCTTGTTAAGAAGGCTCCTACATGCATCCTCTCAGAAAAACCCACATATGTATGGGGACTTGAAAGGTCAATGACTCCAGACTGGTGTTGTTCCCATAAAAAACATGGTTTATTTAATTCTCAGGTGCCCATCTCTATATGAATGCCTCCGTGCATTTTTACAGGTGCAAGCATTTATGCATGTAATTTCTGAATGCATAATATAGTAGATCAAGTCTGGAAATTTTGCTGGTACCCTCATCTCTCTGGTTAGGAAAGTACAGTTTGCCTAAAGGTTTGTGGGCTCAGTTACTAGTTGTTTGATCACTTCATGATGGAGTATTAAATGCACTTGATTATGATGCAATAATGCAAGAGAATGGATGGTGTCCAGCACTTTATAAACAAGTAATTTATAAACAGGCTTCCTGCTTTTCTGCTTCAGTAATGAAATTGTGATTGTGACCAGATGTGCAAGGTCTATTTTAGTTTATCACAGTGTCTTTGGTAGCAAAGGAATTCTAGCAAGCTGTCACTAGGCACACACAAAAGCACTTCAAATAATGTTACATAGTCATAGTCTGGCATGCTGAAGAGAAATTAATTTTCTTCAACTTACCAAGCAATTTTAACATTCCTGTTTTTCCTGTATACTTGTAAGAGTTTTTGAGAGGAAAGAACACAGATAAAAAGAAGATAAAATAAGTGTCAGAAGAAATGGAACACTTTAGATTGACAGCTCAAGAGCTCATTCTGAAGTAGTATTAGTAATCTCTCCACAAATCACATTGCCCTTTAATATGTTTAAGGATTCAAAATCTCAAAAAAGGGATTTGATAAATATAGGCTTTCATAAAGCTTGCATATTACGTCAGTTGGTGAGAAGATATTTTTCAGTGATTGGCCCACAGAATCAAGTCAAAGTTTATCCGCCTTCCAACCACTAAACCATTTGAACAAGATGTAATTGTTAATCATTCAAAAGAGGCCCAGGAAGTCTGTAAGTGAAGAAAGATTGTAAAACAGGACAGTAGTGCACCCAGAATGATATAAACAGTTGAGTCCTTCCTGAACTATAATATGCCTGGTTTCAATTAACACTCTAATCATCTCATTATAATGGCCATAGCATGTAGTCAAGTCAGCCAACTTTATGAAAAAAATGTAAGAGCTTAAAAATCTAAATGATCTATAAAATGTACCTTTAAAATAGTACTTCATTTGCTATGAGCATTTTTTACAATACTTAAAACATAGAAATTAACAGTCTCTAATACAATATGCTTTAAAAATATATATACTGTAATCAGTTATTTTATGTATGACTTCTAACATGCCTAAGAAAGATCGTAATTACCACAGAACTATAAAACTTTCTTCCTCCCTTTACCTACCCAAAATCCTTATAAATGATGAATTACACAGATGGCTCGTATTTATTTCAAGTACATATAAAGCACTGTCACTTTCTATCTAAATATTTAATTTATAACCAATAAATTGCAAGAAGGGAGAGGTCATGGTTGCATGTCGCAGAGCAGGAGAAGTTACGGGTTTATCAGTTCTCTGATGCCAATGTGCAAGAACAGTGAACAACTTGGTTGAACTTCTTGGGGTAGAGATCATGGGGACATAGTTGATAACTAAGACCCTATCAATTGAAAAGCAGGTGATTTAGGCACAGAGAAAGTAATTTTACTTGCAGGTGGAAGACAATATTTAACCTTAGCCTAAAAAAACTATAGTGGAGCATGTTCATTAAGTAAGCTATTGAACCTTATCAAGACCAGACAGGGGCAAAAGCTAGAGGAAAAAGTATTTCTGGGAAAGAAGAGGCAGCATATTCTACCACAAACCTTTCTTCTGGACCAGTAATTCTCAACAATGGTGCCGCAAGATGCTTTTTTACAGATGCCACAGAGTGCCCCACTGTGTTAGTACTGTTATGTGTACAAACACCTACCCATAATCCACAAGTTAAACATGGGGATGTCAAATAGGAATAAAAAAAATTCTGACCTGCTGCAATCTTTCTGAGTTCTTTGCTACAAAAGAATTCCTCTGTTATTTTTCCCTAGTCAAAAAATGAGTGAACGCTAAGAGCTGGCATTTTCTGAAGGGTGCCTTGAATCTCATGAGTACTGCCTGGAGTCTAAAAAGGTTGAGAACCACTGTTCTAGACGTATGCTGTTTTAACCATCTTAACTAGGATCCTGTGTGTAATTAATCAATAGTTCATTACTGTTACGTTATAACTGAATTTCTTACCAGAATTGTCATATGCATCAATACTAAAGTCAGATTTCCTGTCATCCATCACATGGTCATAAGTGATGTGTGGCACAGTTAATACTTTATCAGGGGAAGAAGGTCCATTGTCCTTCTCTAGCTTAAACTTCTTCTTTTTCACCTAAAAAATGAATACAAATTAGATTGGGGTTGGACTAGATGACCTCTGGAGGTCCCTTCCAGCTGTATTTGTCTATGACTATATATGATTATATGACTATAAGACTTCTTGGAGCCACTCTAATTAAAGTGCCCCACTGCCCCCACCTCCTGGAGCATGTGTATAAATGCCCATAAATAACAAACAAGCTTAATTAGGATAACCAGATCAAAGAGATTCTCACCATTTGTATTCACTAACACCCTCCACTCATGATAATTTTTACAAAAGTTGGAAATTAATCCCAGCAACCTGGACCAATTCCAAGTTGAATAATGGCATTCTGCTCACCTATATCCACCCCCTGCAATTTCTGTTGAATTAAAATATTCACTTTCACTATCTGTCTGTAACAGAGTGGTTTGTCCCTTGAAAGGGAAGCAGAGCCTAGGACACATGAACCCAGTTCCAAACCATGGCCTTTTACTGATAAATGCTTTGTTGGAGGATCAGCCATCAAACTGGGAATGGGGGGGTGGGAAGGGTCTGGCATTTTCACCAGGGCTAGGGTCAGACATTCAAAAAGCCAGAGCCTGAATTGATTCAATCTTTGTAGGTAAGTCTAACCTGCCTAGATTGAATCAATTTGGAAGTGAACAAACATTTCCTCTGGACTGAGGAAATGCAGGCACTTGCCTGTAGTGGCTCAGGCCAGGAGCCAGAGGACACTAGAGTGCACCCTCAGCTGCAGGGAAGCTGTGCTGGGCGGGGCATGGCTAGCCCTGGCAGTAGTTTGAAGTGAACTGGCCAGGAAGGGGGTTTAATTCCCTCCTCCCTGTCTGGACCCAAACCAGTCTGCCTGGGCTCCCTGCTCACTGCCGTAGTGGCAGGTGTGAGGACATGACAGATGCCAGCCAGCATGGCCCCCGGAGGCATAGTGGGCAGTGAGGGGGTTTATTCCCAACTCCATCCCCTCTGCCCCTGGGAGACAACAGGGGGGCCTGCACGCCCCAACCATCACCGCCGATTGCTCCCTGCATGGAGGCAAGCAGTGGGATAAGCTCCCTCCCTGTCACCTCTGTCAGATGCTGGGGCGAGCAGTGGCACCAGTGCTTGGAGGGGTGGCCACAGCCCCCTAAGGCCCATTGCCGCTCACCCGACACAGTTTGTGGCAGCTCTGCCCGTCCCACTCCTGCCCACATTGTGCCTCCCCCTCCCCCCGGTCAGGAAGAGGCTTGCACTCTGGAAAGCCATAAGAGGGGCTGAAGCCCCTGTCACAGTCACTCCCCCCTTGCCATTCCAGCAGCAGGGGCAGGGGCATGGCCAGAGGCTGCCTGGCATGGCGCCCTTAGGTGAAGGGACAGGGATGGGTGTTATTCCCCCCTCCCTTTGGCATCTGGCTGAAGGGGCAGGGAGGGGGCTTATGCTGCTGCTCGCCCCATGCAGGTGATCAGCGGTGGTGGTCAGGGTGGGCAGACCCTGCTGCAGTCCCCCCCTGGGCAGGGGGTGGAGGAGGAAATAAACCTCCTCCCTGCCCCCTCTGCCTTAGGGAGCTATGCTGGCCAGCATATGGCCACATCCCTGACCCTGCTGCTGCAGCAGCAGCAAGTGGGGAGCGCCAGGCAGACCTCAGCTCAGGTCCAGACAGGGAAGGAGGAATTAAACCCCCCTCCCTGGCCAGTTCACTTCAGGCAACCGCTGGGGCTGGCCAAACCCCTGCCTCTGGAGCAGTGAGGGAGAAATGCCTGGCAGGTCTGTGCTGGTGGGACAGGGGAGGGAGGGGGAATAAACTTCTTCCCTGCTCCCTTTGCCTTAAGTGGGGGCAGAGGTGGGCCAAACCCCCACCCCTGTCCACCTGTGCTGCAGAGGTGGGGCCAGCCCTGCTCCACTGGAGCAGAGAGCATAGCCCCACCCAGGGCTGCAGAGCATACTGGGATGCTGGGAGACTCTGGTTTAACTAAAACCAGGAAGGGGTCTGAGAGAGAAGTTTGACTTGAGCTCAATCTATCTGATACTACTTTCAGCCAGGTTTACCTCAAACTGGTTTCAGCCATTTTGGAACTGGTTTATGTGTAACTTCTGTCCCTAGCCCAGGTGACCGCGATGTCTCATGTAAAGTAGCCAACTTGGGGGATGATTAGCAAATTAGCTCAGGCAGAATGGAACTCAGCACTGGCTAATTTGCCCTCCGAAGAAATTGCATAAATGCACCTGCTCTGAGTGTCATACTGCTGCAGTGAGACTGCTACTAGTACCCAGGCTAAGTGACTGCAGTACAGACATACCCTATAATGCTCTGACTCAACTTTCAGAATGAGAATCAGGAGCACCAACCAGTCTACAGTCCAGAGAAACTTGGAGGGAGTCTTCCTGGAGTAGAATCCAGACCCTAACTTTTCCAGAAATTTTGAACGATTGATTTTGCTAAATTAAATATAATATATTTACAGTTATACATTTAATATACCTTTTCCATGTAAAATATATATAGTATTTGACAAGAATCCAAATTTGAACATAAGATCCTTGAAACTGGAAGCAGTTCAGCACCAGATCTGAATAGGTCCAGGTCTTTTATATGTATTGGAGGTTGGCAATTGCAAACTGGACTGAGAAAAGATGTGTGGTTCAAGGCTGAATGCTGACTAGTGTTCAGATTAGGTAGCATTGACTGTTCTGGTGGCATATCAGACTAAAATAATGGAAATCTTGCAAAATTGCTTGTTAGATTTTAGCTGTATTCAAACCATAACCTTAAAGTAGGCCTCTGTTAATTGTGACCAAAACTACAGAGGCAAGATTCAGTGGGTTATCACTGAGGACTGAATCTGCCCCTCTGAAATTTGAGAGATTCTAATGTCAGAGTAAGGCCTCTCCTAAGAGACCAGCTTGTACACTTCCACTGGTAAAGGATCCAAAGCACTTTACAATCCTTAAGGAGTTGCTATATGGGATTCTCTTATTATTATTATTGTTTGTAAATCTGTCATATTTGCTTTTTTAAAGAATGGGGTAATTCTTAAAATTTCAGGCATCATCTTCATTAACAGAGCCATTGTGTGCAGGTAAAAAAAATCTGCTAACTTTTCAGTAACATATGTAAATTACCAACTTAAATCTATAACATTTTTTAATGAATAGGTATTGCTCTGTGTGCTCAGGAGCTACAGAGTCCTAAATCCGGCTATGAAACAAGACAAACTAATATGCTACAGTTAATTTAGGAAAAATAAATGTTGCTGATAGGAAAAACAAGGTCATTATGCTGCCTATCTAAATACTTTTCCTGAGTACAAATAGGGTCCTCAAATCAAGAAAATTGTACTGATTTCAATTAAACAATGCCTATTTACATCACCTGAGGAACATATTTTTCCCTTCCCTGTACAAACTTCCGTGCAATGTTAAACAGCTATGACTGGAGTGGATGAAGCAATACATAATTCAAATCATATCTGAAAAAGTTTATTTCATTGCAAAGGATTCCAAAACACTATACACATGAAATATGACCCTGTTGTACCTGTTTCTGGCATTGAGAAAAAGGATCAAGCAAACTGCATCTGGGAAGAGGGACATTTTGGCCCCAGACACAAAGACATAACTTTTGTAAGAACTGCCATGGAACCATTAGAAGTAGTTGTTTAAGAAATATAGGCCTGCTACTTTTTGTAAAAAACAAACTTCCAAATAGGATGGTTGGACACTGATGTGCATATTCCGTCACATACAGTTACCATATTTTTTCCCATATAACCCAACCTCAAATATAACACACCCTATTTGTGGAAGGCCAAAGAAGGAAAAGAGATCTTACCTAGGAGTACAAGTAAGTACCTGGGGTCTGGGACCTCTGGGACTAGGGGCCACGTGCTGGGGCTAGAGGCTTGGGAGCCACTGGTTGCATGCTGGAGCTGGGAATCAGGGCTGGGGGACTGGAAGCTGGGGACTACACAATGGGGACTTGGGGTATGGAGGCCACATGTTGGGCCTAGGGGCTTTGAGGCTGTGTTCTGGAGCTGGGAGCAACACACTGGGGTCTTGGGACCAGGTGCCAAATGTCACATGCCAGGATTGTGGAACCATGACTAGGGGGCTTGAGAGCTGTGCACCAAAACTGGGGGCTTGGGATTTGAGTGCTACATGCTGGAATGGGGGAACTGTGGGGCAGGGACCACATGCTGTGCACTGGGACTGGGAGTTTGAAGGCAGTGCGGCAGGGCCCAATCTGGCCATGGTGATGCCAGGGCCACATGGCAGTGCTAGGTCCAATTCAGCCATAGTGCAGCTGGGGGCAATTTGATGGGGACTGATTCACTTGCACCTACCCCTGGAGGCCAAATGGTGGGGTTAGGCCCAATCTGAATATGGCAGTACTGGGGGCCGTGTAGCAGGATAGGCCCAATCAAGCCATGGCAGCACTCGAGGCCATGCAGTGGGTCCAACTCTGTCACAGGCCAAGCATGTGCTCTAGCCCATCAGTTCTCAACCTTTTGCACCTACATCCCACCTACGTAAGGTCAAAAAATCCCAGTCCCACCAGTCGAGGGGGGAGGTACCCCCAGTGGCCAACTGAAGCATGCAAAAGCAAAACCAAAGTCCCACCATGACACTTCCGGTTTTACTGCCATAACCTGAGTCCCACCAGTGGGATGCATCCCACTGGTTGAAAAACCCTGCTCTAGCCTGTTCCCGCATGTTGCTGGGGTGGGAAGCTTCCCATGGGTCCAGACACTTGATAGCAGGGCAAGGGGCTAGCAGGGGTGTGCAGAGCGGTGGCAGAGTTTATCTGTTGTGGCTCTGAGAGCCACAGCATTTAATGATGCAGCTGTTCTGCCTCTCCCTCCACCCCTGCCACTAAGTGCCCGAACTCATGGGGGGCCTTTTCCTCATATGCAACCCAATTTTCCCCAGTTTGGGGAGTAGGTTATATGTGAGAATATATGGTAGCTGTTTGTACAGTCAAAGTTAGGAAGACCAAGAACATAGGACCTTTTTTGCTCTGAAAGAATGGTCCACAAAGCAGACATCATTTTTTCTTTCCAAATTTCATCCAAATCATGTTAATTGAGTAGGACTCAGTTTCTCACCTAGCAAGTTATTTATTATATTTATACTGTATATAAACAGTTGTGAATCCTTAACTACATATATACTTCATGTCTAAGTGGTCCCAAAGGACCTATGTGTTTGTACACAAGATGTTATTATCAAAGGATAGGTTAAGCCATAAAAATAGTATGTGATAAGTAGCACAGGTTGGTTTATTTTTTACAAATGGAACTTCCTTCACTGAAAGTTTGTATGTACCTTTCTGTTGCTCATTTTCAGCACTATACATTCAGTTACTGATTGACTGAAGTGAGTTATATCACTGCTGCTCCCTCCCCAAACTTGACACCTATCAAAATCAAATCAGTGAACCACAGCAAATTAAGCTATAGTTATAAATGCTTTATGAAGAAAATCCCAATGCTGATATGAAAGTGAAACTTTAAGACCAAGTAACATCCTGAAATACAAATACAGTTCACTGTTTTTGGAAAAAAAGCAGATTCAATATTATCTGTATAGCAAACATATTAATGGAACTACCAAAATAAGAAAGAAAATCAAGATTAGTTACCGATACCATTACAGATTTCTTTGGTTTTGGACTTGGTGACATCAAATGATAGTTCCTAGCAGGTTTTCTTATGTATATTTTCCACGTAGAAGAATCTGGGTTTTCTGCTGCATAACACCTCCACGCAGTCTAAAATAGTTGTTAGCAAAATAATTACTATAATAAATTATTTGTTACAGTTTTTTGTTAAAATGCAAATTCTACAATTTCTTCTCTACAAATGTAGAGTAGTTTGCCATTTGAAATTTTTGTGGAAAATCCTCATTTAGTAACTTAAATCCAACTAGTTTAAAACAGTTTGAAAACCATAAAAACGGGGGAAAATGTTCTCCTTTTTTAAGCATATCATTCACTTGCAATAGGTTAAGTGGGTGCTTAAAATCAGGCAACTACACTCTCAATTAGTCAGAGGGAGCTCAAACCTTTGAAAGTCAGGCTTCTCATATAAGTGGTATCCTAGGCACCCAATTATTTAATGATAGGCATCCAAATGGCACAGTGACCCAATTTTTATAGAAGTTAGCATCTTCAAGTTCCACTTCCTAAGTATGAGGACACAGGTGGCTATTTTGAGCACCCAAGTCTGAAAATGTAAACCTCATTCCATAAGAGGGGTACAACAGAACTGGAGCCAAGAAATATGTATATATCTCAAGGTACTAAAGCCATGCAAGGTTAAGCTGTAAGATAAGGGAAAGCACTATGGTTGCCTACAGACGTTTAGGGCCCACATTCTAACTCATGGCGCTTTATACAAAGCACTATAATTTAGAGATCACCCCCCACCCCCGGGCCTAACAGACATTCACCTGGGGAGGCAGACCCCCCTGGCCAGCCAGTGGTACTCTAGCAGCCTCCAAAATGTCCCTCTCCCCAGCCCCACCCCCTCCTCTCTTTTAGCCACAACAAAGCCAAGCTGGCAGCTATATGCTGCTCCTGTCAAGAGGCCTAGGTGGGAGGCAGAGGAAGGGAGCCCTCCTACGCCTGGCTTGAGCCTCTTGACAGCAGCATCAAGGAGTTGCCAGCTCAACTTTGCCATAGCTAGAGCTGTGAGGGGAGGGTTGGAATGGAACCTCCTCGACTTGTGGACCCCCCAAGCTTCCCCAGCTGAGGTACTCAGGGAAGCCAGGCTGGGCCCGCGAGATGAGTGTGGTTCTCTTCCCCCACCCCCTGCACAGGCCTCTTGGCAGCTGCCACCTGGGATTTGCTGTGGCCAGAGCTGGGTGTGTAAGATGGGGTGGAATGGAGCCCTCTTATCTCACAAGCCCAGCCCAGCTCCCCATTCCACCCTGCCACTCCTCATAAAACTCCAGCCATGGCAAACCCCAGCCAGCAGCTGCATGTTGCCCCCTCCTCTTCCCTAAGGCGCTCTGCTCTACAGCAACTTCATCTAATAGTTGATTTATCGAAGGTTAAATTTTCACGATTGTCTATTTTAAAAGCACTCTGTACCTGTGAACATGTGTTATGTCATGGCTATTGGGAGCTTTCAAAGGTCAGATCACACAAATAAAGTAACTTGTGTAAACACCCTATAAAGCACAGGCCTTAAGATATGACTAAAATAAATAAAAATGTTATTTTTCAAAGATCTTCCATCAGTCTAATTTCAGTGTTTGACTGCATCTTATTTCTGTTGCCACAGCCTTTAAGCCAGGAGTCAGCACCTTACACAACTCAGAATTCTTTAAAGCAATCATAGGATGAACCTTGGGCCCCTTGCTTTGAGAACAGGCCCTAGTTTTATGAAGGAAAAGAATAAAGGAGGGCAGGACTAGAGAATATCAGAAGATGGATAAGTCTAAGGTAGGGAAGAAAATGAAGGGAAGTGAATACAGGAAGTTGGAAAATAAAGAATCTAATGGTCCACCTGAGGGATGAATAAAATTTCCATTAACAGGGTTGTGAATTGTATACAGATGTTAAGGAATAAATGGGCTCTATGGGGGAGCAGGAAAGAAGACAGAGGGAGAAAACTCATTTCAACTGTTTTGTCTTGTCTTTAGATAGTCAGCATCTGAATGAAGTCTGCTTTTTGCAAGAATGGTCCTGTTTAGCCAGACCACAGATTAAATTTCCTATTCCACTACATTTTTGTAACAACTCCTGTTCATACCTCTTCACTCCTAGTTCAAAGCCCTCTTCCATCCAAGCAGACTCTTTTCATTTCCATAGAAACTTTTGTTTGATTTATCTGAGCTGGAATCTACTTCTCCTTCCAACATGCGGAGGGGCATCTGATGCCGAAAAACTGGTCCAACAGCTCTCCTAACTATATGGTTGGTCCAATAAAGATATTACCAAGGAGCCTTGCTTCTCAAACTGTGCTACAAGCAAATTCCTAGATTTAAACCACCTCCTGCATTAATCTCTGGATTCCTCAGATTATGGTCCAAATGTACAGCTAACTTGCTCTTTCTATAAAAGGACTCAGCTGGGACTCCAAATTTGGGCGCTGCTGAACTTAGAAAAGTTCATATGAAGATGAAAATTGCATGGTTGTGGTGCTGGTCTACATTTCTCTTGTGCTCCATCTCTTTCATCCAAAATCATTTAAGTTTCCAATGTCTGATAAGGACATCAAAATAAGGACATGCAGCTGGGAAGCAGTAACAATTAAAAAATACGAGTATTTACCTTGGGTGAAATCCTGGCACCACAGAAGTCAGTTCCAAAACTCTCATAGTGTCCACTGGAGCCAGTATTTAACCCTATAGTTCTACCAGAAATAATATCTGGGTCTTGCATCTACAAGAGTATCTAAATGTTACATGGCAATCCCCCCTCAGAGCAGAATTTTTTGAAAATAAAATTTTGCTTTGGTTCTTGTATCATGAATTTTTTTTTAAAGTTTGTACCAAAAGAAAACTTTGCATATTTGACTCTGCTCAGATTCAGATCAAGATTTTTCTGAAAAGAAAAAAAAATGCTTTCAATGGAAACGAGGTATGAATCCCTGTTGATCTCTTATTTCACTAAAGAAAGATCAAACAACAGTACTAGTGTTCATTCTTACACAACTCATATCAAACCATCAGCACCTCCAAGAAATTTGGAACAGTGGGCACCTACACACATGCAGTGAGGGTGCTCTGACATGCTGTAATTACAGCATGTCATAGCAGACTCAATTAATCGAGTCTGCTGGAGTGTGGTAATTACCGCGCTCCAGCAGACTCCAACGTCACATATATCAGCATCTCCGCACTGAAAATGGCGGCAGGGGTGCTTTAACTAAAGCTCGTCCAATGAGCTTTAGTTAAAGAGCCTCTGCCACCATTTTTCAGCATGGAGATGCTGATACACGTGATACTCCGGGCACTTTAATTAGAGTGGCTCTCTGAGCCACTTTAATTAAAACACCTTCCTGGAGTACGTGTATAAACACCCAGTGGATTTAAAACGCATGCTACACTTTGAAAATGAAGATTCCCAATTGCTCTGTCCATAATTTGTACACTTTGGGCAGGAATGTCATGCAACTACCTAAAAGACTTGCACTCCCAATTCCCAAATACATTTTTAAAGGGGACTGGTTGTGGAAATCCCTTGGACAGCTTTGAAAACATGAACCTAAACTGAAAGGGCAAATGTAAGAACTGAAATGTAGAAGCCTGGGTACCTGAATGAGGGAGGCAGCGGCTGGAATTTGACGGTTAAAGTGTTTCTGCCTTTGTTTCTGTTGCACCTTTAGGGCAAAGCCTGAACCGAGAATTCCCTGTGGAAAGAAAGAAAACGAAGATCTCATTTTTAGAAGAAAAAAATATATCAACACCCTGGCTAAATTACTTCATATTAATATAAGTTTTATTCAGCATCATAAAACAACCAAACTAATTATTTAGAGGAAGTGACTTAATAGTGCAGTAGTTTTGTCACGGTTGGCATTACTTCTCAAAGCATAAAATGTTAGTGCTATTGCAGCCCAATTCAAGTCTGTAGTCTTTCTGTCAGAGTCTGTAGGATCCTTTCTATTGACTTCAACAGTTTATAGCTCAAATAGCTAGTGAATCGGCATACATGGTCTTTCTCACAGTCTGAAAACCACATAAATGCTTGTGAGAGAAAATAGTAGAATCTGGGAAAGTACTTTAACCTTGGCTTGCCTAACTTTCCATGTAATGAAAAGTCAGTTATTGATGTTCTACAGTTTGAGGTCATGAGCAAACTTTTACTGCATTGGGTTTACAAAATTTGGTCCCATGGTTCTCACCAATGACAGCAACATAGAGACTAGTGTTGATAGGCCACAGTTGCGTTTATCAGCATATCGTCTGATGCCCCTCAGAGGCAAATGATCAAATGGAGGGTTTGATCATACATGCCTTCATCATCCATGTAAGCTGAGATGGTCAGGTACCTTTTCAGGCCCAAATGGGGGAACTCATGTACCTAGGCACATACATGTTTTTGTAGCTCAGCTGATGGAGAGGAGTTAATCTAGTGTTTAGTAACTAAACAGTCAAAAAGTGCTCAGTTAAGTGACTTAGCAAATACTGTCAAATAATAGTAAAATATTTAAGCATTAATTTATTAGAGCAGTGAAGAGAGAGGCTTTAATCTCCAGTCAGTTATATATTTATGATAATTATAAAAAAGAATTGAGATAACTATTCTTGTGAAACAATAAATTAAATTCTAAAAAACTGTCATGAAACTTTATAACTATGAATATTAGGTAAGTGTAAATGTGAATAATATTCAAGACTGAACAAATTTCTTTTTCCTTGGCTTTTATCCCAGCACGCCACCAAAAATAAAATACCCACAGCAACTATAAAAGACAAAAGTCAGCTGTTAAAAAAGTTATACCAAGTAGGCAGCAAGCCAACTCTTTAAGCATTTTGCAGTTTGCAATTTGGAGATGCCTGCAGTTATACCAGATGGCCAGTAGGATAAGCTTTCTAATGCTGCTTGGTACCAAGTAGCTCCTTCAGTCCCAGTTGGCTTAATGTGGGAAAGGGCTGGAGGACCCCTGGAAGAGCTCACAAAAGACAAGGAGAGGGTGCCTGCTCCTAAATGGAGCAAAAGTGTGTGTGTGTATGGGCGTGTCCTGATTTCTGCAGGGCTGAGAGATCAGGAGCACTCACTCCTGCCCTTCCTAACAGATGACACTATAATAAAAAAGGTAGGCCTCCACCTACACAAAAGCATTCTTGGCTTCAATAAATACTTGACAACTTTTAACTGTGGTCAAATAACAGGCAGTCAATTAACATTATCTGATCGATCAATTAACTGGCTTGCCAACCTTAGGTTAATCTGGATTGCTTTTTGTGATGTAGGCACAAGTGACATGTTGCTCTCCCATAAATAATAGTTGGTTTTTCTACATGTAGAAAAATAGGTAGTGTGCAGCATGGACAAAAAGAATGCATGGTGTCATTCAACCTGAAAAGGACCTGAGGTATAATAAAAATCCTTAATTTTATGAGTAAGCATGGTCTAAATCATCTGTTTAGATGATATCATCTCTATGATAATATTTAGTATAGAGTTTGATAACCTGGCAGTAAAAAAAATTGAGATCTGACTATACAATGTCCTTTAACTATACAAATTGGAGAATTGCAACAACAGTGAATAATGGCATCTGATCTTCCCAGTAAGGTAGACAAGTACAAAATCAGTTGGATACCCTGGCTTTCTCATAAATAACTGTGTTGCTCAACAGTAGATCTCATCTAGAAACTAAAAGGAAATGTATTTTGTGGGCGCAGACAGAAGAGCAGCTCCTCATTGTAACAGAACACTTTGCAGGAAGTGTTCTCAGTCACAGCAATCTCCCAGACCAAACAGAAGCTCACTGTTGGTTCCAGGGGGGAGGGGAATCTAGCTACTGGCTGCAGCCTGCAGGTGGTTTCCCTTAGCAATGGCCCCTCCTCCCTGCAAGGCTGCAAAGTTTTCAGAATGGAAGAGGGGAAAGGAGTCAAAGGGAGCTCATTCCAATATATCTGCCCCACCATCCAGCGGGGGTTGAAAAAACCCCAAACTGAACTCCCTCCACTCCCTTCCCCCGGCTATTCAGAAAACAGCGTGGAGGCTGACAGACAGGAAGACAGAACTTATAGAAGATGCCATGTTTTGATACCTCTTCATCTGAACCCTCATGCAATGAGATTTCAGATTTTCACTGAATCAGTCATTTTTGAAGCAGTCTGCAATTATGCACTTGTGTTTGGTCATAGCTGTATACCACTTTCTGTGGCTAGATCAGGAGAATATTGTCACTTATGTCTGTGTCCAATGATTCATTTAAAAGAGGTCACAGTGGCGATGATGATCAGACAAGTGAGCAAGATAACATCTATTTTCAGAATTAAAAGTTTCTACTACACCCTAAGGCCTCTTCTAATTCTGTTTCCATGATATTTCTTTTCTTTCAATGGGACATAGATTCCTAGGAGCCTAGGATGCAAATTTGTAGAAGTATTTAGCCACTGCTATCAATAAGAGCTAGACGCCAAAACACCTTTCAAAAATTAGACCTCGAGTCAGCAGTGATTTGGGCTCCTGCAAACCAGATCCTAAACCACCTCTAAAGTGCTTAAAACTGAATTAAGTGAAATGTAGGCACCCAAGTCACAAAGAGAGATCCAAATTCACCTCCAGTGGGCTTCACCTGTCCCCCAAAGGTAAGCGTGTGTTTTCTTCTAGGTTGGCGGATCTCCTCCGGCGGGCTTTAAACTAGGCTCACCGGGGGGAGGGGAAGATGAGGGCGGGGGAAGCTGTGGACCACCAAACCATGTGGCACCCACAAGGACAGCCCAGCCTGAAGAAAGAGAACATTGGGAACTTGGCAAGCATGGGGAGGCCAGCACTACGGCACAGGTAAGAAAC